CGAAGGTTATGATCTTTGGTCATGGTCTGATGATTGCGAATTAAATTGATACTCACGCGAGCACCACTGTGGGCTACCTTAAGAGTCTAGATTATTAATAAATTGAACGAAGTCTCGGGCATTCGTTATAAGATTCATGAAAACATAATACAGAAACCATTTCAGTAGTACGTGCAGTAACAGCCATTGTTAAAGATTGGTATACAAATCAATTACTGCTTTGTATTCAATAATAATTATAATAAGGTTAAATAAAACATCAGCATGATTTATTATCTAGGACACATTCAATGGCTCATGTTTAATATTCAAACTTCTTTATTTAGCTACAGTTATTTACAAGCTTCATCTGCATAAAATATCATTAGTAATAAATATGAGACTATCATTAGCAAAGACTCTAGGAGGCGCAAGCGCATCTTTTCTTTTTTTTTTTGAATAAAGATATAATGCGAGTAAAATTCCTGCTGTTTTTAATAAATCCATTTGATTTATTCATGTGTGTATGTAATGCTAGAATATTTTTTTCTATGTTATTGAAAAACGCTAATTGAGAGCACTGAGAAATGAAATGATATATGGTGCCGAATATTGACCCGTGATTATTATAAATGTGAAAGTAAGATTGTTTGTTTATTCGTTTACTTCTTGGTACCTTTATGGCTCAAACAATAATCTTGAAAATTGGCATATACACAGTATTTGGCATGCAAGCTATTGATATTCCAGCCACGCAGACGTAGTCGCGGTCATGGATAGTCATTTATAAAACCTTTAAAGATGTAAACTAATTTAATGAAGGAAGCCAATGATGGGGAGAGACGTGTATTTTTTATTGACTTCCTGTAATTTGGAATTAAATCGTTCGGGGTGGAGTATTTTTGTGGAGACATTTTTTTGGCAGAGCAAAATCTTAAATTACCTTCTTTATCTTTTCAAATAACAAGGACCAATGAAAATTTATTTGATGTGGATATTTTAAAGGCGAAAGATATAACGAACATTAACCAGTTCACGGTAATTTCATCGGTAAGAAGCTAATATCTAACGTCACAGCAGAGAAATATTAAGACAATAAAATCTCGGGTAGTGTAAAACATTAGCACTAGTTCTGTTCAACAGCCATGTCTAACATGATGTAAGACTTAATATCCGCGCCTGCTATTAATGCCACTACGAACGGATCCGCAAATAAAGCTATTTATATTTTATCTCATTACTGCTCTCACACGGAAAATGAGAGATCGTAAATGAGAATAGTTACATTTGTATTGTTATTTTATTTCTTCTATTAGGGAAAAGAAATTTTAGTAAAGTATGTATAAGTCAGTTGTACTTAAATTATGATAGTAAATATCCAAAGTAATGTGACGTCTTAAATAGTTCTGTTAAATTCTGTTAGATTAAAAAATAATGAGTCTTCTCCTTTCTGCTGCCGATGTTTATGCAACTTAGAATGGTAAACAAGTCGACGGTCCACCTGATTGAAAGTGGTAACTGTCGACTACAGACATGAGTACTATGGACATAACAGAGTATATTTTTTCGTCCATGATACTCCCTAAGTATGTATCCGTAGACAACATTACATTGAAAAAACGTAATTTAAAAAAAAAAATTACATTAATATTTGGAGATAACAAAAAATAGTATTTACTGTTATTATTACTTTGTATTTTTTACTTTTCAGCGTAAATGTGTTATTCTTATTTAAATTTAAGCAAAAGTAAATTACACAAAAAGAAAAATAGAATATATATCTTTTTATATCCTAGTTACTTTTAATGTATATACAGTACATGAATAAATAAATATTACAACAGAACTATAGTGCATTCAATAAGCACTTCATATCTGTTATTCATTTTATGATCAAATAACAAAAGCATAGATTATAACCCTGAAATACGATGCTATAACCTATTATATGTCTCAATCTTCACGAACAATATACTTATACGTGAATGTAATATAAATTATTAGAAGAAATTGCGGAAACACTGATTATCAGACACAATTTCATAATTGTAGATGATTATAAACAATACGATATATATCGCAAGCCAATAAATGAATGAGAAGCATCGTAACCCGAGGCATAATAGGCAGCACGGAAATATGATGGGAAACATAATATAGGTACTATAGTTGGACGGTCTTGAGAACATTCTTCTATGATGTAATCAATTGACAAGATTAATTGATGTGAAACTAAGATGGATAGATTGCACTAATGAAGACATCCTCTTGCTATCAATGACGGATCTACATCCTAATAATATGCAAGTGAAAGCGCCATTAGTATTCGCTTTGAAACTAAAGGAATACGTTAAATAGTGAATAATTAAGCGTGTCCTTGTGACCCTAGAAAGTGAGGGTCACAGGCAAAGTCAATACTATTTGACTCAATACTATTTGTCCTATATATCATTTGAATAGTATTTTTATTTGCATTGTTAGTAATTACGATGGAAATGACAGATAATAATAATTTAAAACGATGGACTGAACAGAGACTGTTTATATTTTTTTCGATGACTGTCACATTAGATTGAGTGAGTTCTTGGGATTAAGTTTGGAGAAAAATTAAACGATAAGTAAATGCTCAGTCTTCGCCTGTTCCTTGATGTCCAATTGTATAACGGTATTTATAGCTTTTAATAATATATAAAAGTATAATATTAAGTATCAGCGTTTTTGTGAAATTTGATTGAAATAAATCTATGGCAACTCATTAAACGTAATCTACGTGACTATATGGAACATGTATTTATTCGTATACCTTTTTATAGATAGATAGATAAATAATATAAAAATGTAATATATGTAATTAACTTAGATTATAAAGATAGAGTCTCAAGTCTCAAAACGAGTGAACTTTTTGTCAGCTAATTGTCAAATTAGCTGATTCGCTTTCTTTAATTAGTGTTCTTTATATTTACGCACACAATGTACCTTGGCGTATTTATATTTGATTATTTAATAATTAAAACAAGTCTACACATTAAAAAGATGCAAAAATATAAAACAAAATAAATGTAGAAGTTATAAAGGAAATACTCGATAACTATTTATCACGCAATATTGTAAAAAGTGTCACGCTTTTCTCGAAGCATTTGTATGGAGACATTCTAATATCTATAATCTAAGGTAATTGATTAATAAATATCAAATTATGGAGAATATATTTATGATACAATGGATGTATAATGTGGAGGCTTTCGGAGTTTAATTCAGTTTACTTGTTTTCAGTTGGAAATCTTAGCTACAGTTTTTATTTTCAGAAATTAGGATTTGTGTAGCCAGCATCTAGTAGTGTGAGCATTGGGAATACAAATCATATTATGATAATCGGAAAAAGTGAATGTCACTGAAGATCTTTGATCATAATAGTGGCATATGACCTTGAGAGACGCTAGGTTTATATCAGTATGGATCGGAGTAGCAATCATCAGTATCGGCTAATGAAAACAACTATATAAGTCGATTAAAGAAAGCTCAAGCAAGCAGCATATCAAGCAAGGGCCGTACGTGTCAGATGGAACAGGGTTAACCCGAAATTCATTCAGACAAAATTTCCGAAGTAGTGTGAGATATGGCGTGTCATGAATGGGTACCAGATATCGTGTTCGAATGCGTGATGCGGGTCACATTGCGGAACGTGGTAATTTTAAGTAAAAAGTAAGACCTCACGTTGATCTGCGTGACATATTTTTATAATTATTTATGTATGTAATAATTTCATTTGATACAATAAAAAGCCCTAGAATTTATTAGTGAATGTGCATACAAAATTATTTTACACTAAATGTGTAAAATAATTTTGACTCAGGTGTTATTTCCCCGTACCCTGTAAATTCACTGGCATATCCCATCCTTCAAACCTTCACTTATTTTGTATATGCACAAAAAGGTATTTGTGCATAAAATAAGTAATTTTTTTTTACAACACAGGCGGCAAACGAGCATGCGGCTCACCTGGTGGTAAGTGACTACCGCCGCCCATGATCACCCATAACACTTAAGGCATTGCAGGTGTGCTGTCGGTCTTTTAAAAAGGAATATGCTCTTTTCTTGAAGGTTATGTTGTCGTATCTGTTTGAAAATACTGCTGCTGGAAGTTAAATCCAAAGATTGGTTGTGCGTGGAAGAAAGTGCCTTAAAAAACGCACGGTGGAGAACCGCCACTCGTCCAGATGGTTGGGATGAAATTTTAGTTTTTTAGTCAACTTATATTTCCAATTATTACTACTAATTCTTATGTTCTCTGATTGTAATTAGCATGTACATCTGTAGAAAGTAAAGATCATCCGGAACGAGCACGTATGCATTAGATAAAATATAAAATAAATGAAGCAAGAGCTGTATGTAAGGATAGTCTTTTGACAGTCAGTCCTATCCGCTTACTCCGTAAGTTATCTAGCATGAAGATAAACATTACACTAATTGTACAATTATTTACTTGCTGTGAGTATAAATATTTTCTAAAATCAATTTATAAATTCTCATGGGAAATAACAGCATCTGTATACGCATTTAAGGTAATAAGAGCAAAATAAAAAAGAAAGTTATTTTTAACATAGACATTTAAAACTTTCAGGACAAATATAAAAAAAAATAGCATCGTCTACACACTTCTTTATTATAAATGCAAGTGAAAGGAACGTTTCATTTTAATATATTGTTGCACACAAAACCAAAGAAAAAGGAGCTAAACAAAAAATATGTGAGATTTGAATGGCATTGTATGGGAAAAGCATATCGACGTATGTGGCGGGCGGGTGCGTCCGCGGTTGGTCCGGCGCAAGCGCAAGCGGCGCGACGTCCGCGTCCGGCAGCGCCATCTCTCCCTTTCTCTCTGGGGTATTGCCCTCTCTCTCCGTCCTTCGGCGGCTCGTTCCTCTTCTTCTTGCAAGGTTAAGGTTACGTCAGACGTGTTATGTTATAACCGTTGGGGCGCACTCTAGCAAGTTCAGTGTCTCGACGAGAGTGGCCGCGACACTAGGCTCGCGACCATCGCTATCACCACCTCGCGTCACTTCGGACTGTGCGACGCCTGTGACATACGAACAGTGAAAAGTTCATGAACTGGGTGTTGATTTTGTTTGAACTATATAATCACGTGACGCACACACAATACGTTCCCAGAAATATCGTGATCCCTTAGAGGTATGTACTGATTGACGATAACAGAATTTATGATAAACGGATCGATGATAAAAAAATAAATGTTAACGTTTCGTAAAGGAAATTTATAAAGGACAATATATAATATTTTTTTTTTAAATAAATCACGACGCTGTTTTGATTACTTTTTCCGAGGCTGAAATCTAGTTGAGGATACTAGAGGGCATTCTAGGTAATAAAATGGTTTATTAAATATTTTATAGTAGATTGGTTGAGGTGCTCTTATCAGAATGCAAGGTATTAATTTCAGTATTTATCATGTAATTAAAACCAATAGTTGCCAACAGTTACTTACTAAATTAGCATATTTTTCCTATTTATATTAATTTATAATAAAATTAATTAAACCTTTACGCAGCATTTCCATAAAAGTGGTAAATGTAAATTTTCAAAAGACATTAACATAATCGCTGAATATTGAACAATTTATTCGTAATTTCAATAAAAATGCAATTTCATGTGCGTATTTTTCATGTCGCGTTCAAACGCACTTGACATTCAAAATTATGCATAATATCGTAAACATTCAAGCGCGACCACCCGAGGGGAATTATAAACCAAAAATGCTTTAAAAAAGGATAATTGAGGGATGTAGGCGATGTAAAATATTAAATGTTATGATGATAAAATAATATTGAGAACAAAAAGAGTAGGACATTGCGGGCGTATGATGTACCGTTAACACATTGAGGTTTTTACTTAGCAGAGCACTTGTCTTCGATCGTGTATAAAATGATAAGCTCCGGTGCCCATACGTGTAGCAATAATACCACTGCGCTATATTTAGAGCCGCTTCGTTTGGTGTCTTTGTAATAACTAATCCTTATTTGTTAATATTATGTTATTTCTTTGAATTAAACTGTTCAGTTTTTATAGAGATGTTTAATTACATCATGAAAAACTCATAAACGAGTCAAAATATTAATACTATGATAAAAATAACACACTTGGCCTTTAGAAAGTCCAACATAAAGAAGAATATAATGAGATAACTGCGAAAAAATAATTAATAAAGAATATGTATATAATGAATAATATCTATGGCATAACATTAGATAAAAATATGGGCGTGAGACCATGTTATAAAAACTGAAATAAGAAAAAAATTGGCAGGTTGTTTTAACAAAAAAATAGGCTTTCAGCTATAAATTACATCAAATATAATATATATAATAATGAAAAATATAACTAATATAAAAGTATGTATAAATAAAGTGACAGGCGAGTGTAATATTCGTCCCATACAAAAGACTTCAACGGGAACTTAACAACGCTTATAGAAGGCGTGTGTTGTGAACTTAATAATAGAAAGGCAATTAAATGAAAATATTAAAAGGCGCAGTCTGGGAAATAAGGAAATATTTCTGCACTATACAAAAAATATTATATCTCATAAAAGTGCAGTGAGATATTAAGGACCTGTCATAAAACTTACGTACTGAACAAGTACGTATTGAATTCGAATTTATGGATTTTCAATTATTTCGTTATCGGTCATAAATTATATTACTATTTAATAGTATATTAGAAATAAGTTACCAACTAATCAAGAATGAAGTCTATAAAAAGGGAGATGAGTTTAAATTTACTAAAATAACTATTACAAAGGTGTTTTATTCCAATGAAAGATTTAATGCGATTTTTCGATTTGGTAATTTTTATTAGAAAATGAGTGTGTTCATAAAATAAATAGAATATCATACATATTGACATCGAAAAGGATAATTTATTTTAGATTTATTAAGAACACATCTAACATTTATCTATCGACTACAGGCAGCATGTTCTGTTAATAGAAACATGGCTCAAGGAACCGGAATCTATCTAGAAGCCCATTATCAGTCGTTGAAATGCAAAAAAAGGCGACCGCCTTTTACGGAAACTTAGGATTCATCTGAAAATTAATTTATTCTAAAGTCTGATGACATTAATTTATTTGTAGAAAAAATGCTACGTTTGTCATCTCTTTCTTAAACAATAATTATAATTTAATAATGATTATTATTATATATTTTAAAATTTTTTATTGCCGAAAATAGGATTTTTTTGTACATCCCTCTGTATCATCATCATGTCAGATATTTATAGTCCTTTATTGAACAGACTTCAGCCTTTAAATGTCCACTGCTGAAGATAAGCCTCCCCTTTAGGGGATTTTGCTAGTTTTTGGAAATGTTTTAAGACAGGATAAGAGGTGGCCTATTCTATGCCGGGACCACACGGTCACTAGTACTTTTATAATTTGCATATATTAAAAATATTTTGTGCAAAATAGCTCAAAAATATAAATTGGAAAAAAGTAATGTGGATAATTACATTGGTGAAAACGAAATCAAGGTGAAAAACTTTTCCCACGAGAACGAAACCTTATTAAAGACTTAGATAGCTAGTTATCTAGGCTGGCAATTGCAAATAGAACAACTGGTAGCTTTCGTGGGCCGGTAAGGTCTAACGAACGATTTCGAGCACGATTCAGGGTCGGGGGTCACTATGTACCTACTTATAAAGGTTGATAGCGACGATGAGGATTTATTTGTTGCACTTATAATTCTCTACGGATAATAATGATCAAATTGTAATTTATAAAGATTTGACAAAATAATGTTATATCCTTATTGGTATACTATCTATTATTAATTCGAGTGATGACATTAGGCACTAAGCACGGGTAATATAGATATCGGTTCGATATCTATATATTGGGTTCCTTTGACTGACTTAAAATCGCCCATAACAGTCGGATATCTATTTTTGAATATGTTAAAGGTCCGTTACCCAATATTATTCTTTGGATTTTACCAGATTTGTTACTGATTCAGTATACAGACATAGTAAATAATATATATATATATATATATATATATATATATATATATATATATATATATATATATATATATATAGATATTGCTATACATTACCCACCCCTATTAGGCACGTCCTCAGCTGCTTTGGATTCTAATATGCTCGAAGAAATGTGGGCACGTCGAATATTAAGTTATATACAACGGTAATAGTTGATAAATGGCTCTGACTATCCATTAGAGATTATAGTCGTGAGCGTATTAGGAAATTGATATAAACCATTATAAAAAAACAGGCTAGAAATCTTATATTTAATTTCACGGATCCCATACAGTTATGTGCGATAAAAAATGAATACATTGAATTATGTAAAGCAATTTATTTCAGAATTAAATTATAAATGTTGGAAATATTGAAAAAAGTGAAATCGCAACAAAAACATTTAACTGCATAAAGGAGCAAATCTTACTGTCAAGAAACGATAAAAAGCAGAGAAATCCTATGTATTATACTTATTTTACATTATTCTATTTGCAATTCTTTAAAGTTATGGCGTATGTATTAACATAAAAAGAAGAAAATATGATTGTCGGGTCATTGTCACATAATAAAAAGCTATGGTTGAATAAACTTGCTCACTCGCAATAAAATATAATATTAAATTAGATTCTTCGACGGCGACAAGCGGTTGGAGACAGATTTGTCGGATTATTGGTTTTGATTGTTTCCGGACAATCACATCGAATTTCGACAAACGATCAGTCGATTTTATTAAATCAAAGGAAATTTGGAAAAAATAAAATGTAATAATGAATTTGTAGTCATTATAGTTGTCTATTAACTAGTAAAACTGGAGAACTTTGTTTATTATTTGGTTCAACTGTAGCCCTATATTTACTAAATTGGAACCGTAGATTTTATTTAAATTAAGTAACATTGTCATCTTACTGTGGTGCGCAGCCGCGAGCGTAAAAGAAATTAATACAATTTAAAATATTAAGATAAAAGTGAGATCTTTTTAAACAATTAAAATTTATTTAAGTCAAAATGAAAAGCCAAAATGTGGTTATTAATGGCAATTTTTATTAAATATGATTAATCGTTTATGTGTGTGTGTGCCGTTAACAAATAATATAAATAGATATGTGGCATAATCTTATGCTTGTAATCATAGAAATATTTTTATATAACATTTAAATACAAATAAAAAAAATACCAACTACCCTGAAGCTAAACCCTTAAAAAGCGAATCGCCTCAGATACTTGCATTTCGGTAAGAAATATATTCTAAAAATATTGTTCATCTTTTATGTCAATTAAAACACAATAGCAGTGATCCATCAATAAGTAAAGCACTTTATATTTTTCTCATGAATCCGTCTTAATTAATTGCCTCGTGTATGTCGTTATAATGTTTTCATTCTTTGTTAAACTTGTTCTAATCACTGGAGCGTTTCTTAATGCCATACGTGAGTCAACTTTGAACATCATTTTGCATGTATTTTGGTTAATTTTATTGCACTGAGCGGTGAGACTTTTTCGAAACAATAACTCAATAAAAATACATGAAATTCAGATTGTATAATTAGCAAATCACGTGTGTTTTCTATTTATTTTTGTGTTTTTTGAAACGAATAATATAAAGTGAAACGTAATGAATATGTTAATGTGGTATATATATAATTAAGATAATATTTCAAGAATTACACACAGATTTTGTTCTGCAATATTAACAGAATGTAACTAAGAGCTGACCCCGTTGCGGACATCCCGTGAATATAATTAAGAAGGTCACGTGAGAACTAGTGGATAGTTCGTGACTATTCGAGAGTCTGTGACACGCCATCTGTAATTATTAGGTCCAAGGCGAGGATGCGTTCCGATTTTCCGATTAGATGCCCACAGAATTAGCTGTAGATTAACATCTTATATGACAATTGAGGTAATAAGTTAATAAAACGAAAGGTAACTTACAACTGGACAAGCCTGTGTCCACTTTCCACATGAATTCGATTCTTTTTTAGAGCAAAACAATTTTCGAAAGTTTTTGATAGAGTATGTACGCCATAAATTTTTTACTATTTTCATGTAGTTATTCTAATAATTGAGACGAATCTACCGTTTATTAAAATCCATCAAATCAATTAGACTATAAATGTTGCGCCATTTATACCTAC